TAAACTCTGAATTCCTACACCCTGAACCCAAACTCTAAACTCTGAATTCCTACACCCTGAAGCCAAACTATAAACTCTGAATTCCTACACCCTGAACCCTAAACTCGAAAAAAGATTGGAGCCCGGTAGGGGCTGCAACAAAGCGTGGGGAGTGTAGTGTACTTAAAGGATCATGGTACTTAGTAAGTCAGGTTATAACTAAGGTAACTATACTTACAACCCCAATTAGGGGACTTATAACCTTACTTACTAAGTCCCATGATCCTTCAAGTACATGCCATGCAGAACCTGCGTGCTAGCGCCGCTGGCCCATGGTGTCCAGAACAACCGTCCCCCTAGTTTCTCCTGACCATTAATTGCAAAAATACTATAGGGGCCGAAATATTTATTATAGTACAATGGGCCCCAAAATCTTATTCTAATTATTGCGGCCCTAGATATATCCACAAATACTACATGCCCGCTTGCCGTGGCAGGACGGCTCTACTCGCAACGCCAGATGATACTTGACTCGAGTTTGCTTGACCCGTCGGGCCCCAGTACCTGAGATCGTATACTGTAGGGGCCTTAATAATTAGAATAGGGTGTTTGGGGTATCTTATATTATTATGATATAGGGTGTTGGAGTATATTATACTTTTATGATAATATGGAATCCCCCCAAAACCCTATTCTAATCATTAAGGCCCCTACATTACTCCAGTGGAGGGGGGTTTCAGGTTTTGTTTGGCTCCGGGCTAGTTCTTCGACCCCGATCTGCAGTTGTGCATAGCCTTTTTTATGACGAGACTTGGGCACTAAGGTTACCAATACGGGTTACTGTGCAGTTCACCTTGTTTCGTCGTGTTGTAAGCCTAAAAGCTAAATCCTAAACCCTAAACCCTACATCTTAAGCCCTAAACCCTTAATCCTAAACCCTGAACCTGGTATTCAACGATGCGTACCCACCCTGGTTCTTCGAATCGTTGAGCTCCAAACCCCGCAGTTTGTTGAGACTTTTAAGATCGTAGTCTTGGCTTAGGGTTTAGGGTTTAGGATCTAGGGTTTTGCGGTTTAGCATTTAGGATAGTAGTCTTGTAAGTCAGTTTTTGGGGGAGGACTGTCTGATTATTAGGTACATGGACCACTTGGAGAGCCCTACAACCCATGGTTAAGGGTTGAACCTAACTTACCCCAAAACCCTAAACTCCAACCCCAGCACTCCTCAACCCTACACTCCTAAACCCTAGACTCCTAAACCCCAAACCCTAAGCCCTACATCCCTAGACCCTCAACCCTAAACCCCTAAACCCTACACCCTCTAAACCCTGCATCCCTAAACCTACATCCCCAAGGCCTGCCAGACCAAATCCGAACTACCAACCCAGTGCTACGAGCTAACACCCCAGTACGCAGAGGATCAGGGCACCTGGTAAGTAATGTAGGGGCCCTAGTAATTAGAATAGGGTTTTGAGGTATAGTACCTTTATATTATACTATTATAATTATGACAAGGAACAATAATTAGAATAGGGTTTTGAGGTGTAGTATCTTTAGATTATAATATCATTATGACAAGGAACCACCAAAGTAGTATAGCTAATTATTTAGGCCCTTCATGAAGGTTCTGCGTACAAGCTAGCACTGCCATCCTTAGGAGCTGAGTAGATAACCTTGAACCTCTTGGGGCTTACCCTAAGGGTCCATGTACCCAAATAGTATATATTTCGGCCTTAGGCCTTAAAGTGGTCGCTATTTGGGTTCTTTGGGGCCGAAGTATATGCTATTTGGGTACATGGACCCTTAGGGTTATATAGTCCTACCATGAATTCAACGGTGAGCCTTTTTTGGGGCTAGGGTACTCAGCTCCTAAGTATCTTATTGCAACATGGATGAAACCTTAGTCCTAAATCCCTCATTCTGCCCCAAATTCCGAAGCCAAGCCCTACCAACCCACCCCCGTCCTCGACAAAGACACAACCCTAAACCCTAAACCCTAAACACTAAACCCTAAACCCTAAACCCTAAACCCTAAAACCCTAAACCCTAAACCCTTATAACCCTAAACCCTAAACCCTTATAACTCTTAACCCCTAACTTGGAGGATGATGGGTAGTTAGGAGTCGGGTATGTAAGTAGCACAGCTATAGTTAGGGTTTAGGGTTTAGGGTTTAGGGTTCAGGGTTACAGACTATGTTGATGGACTTATAACCCTACTTGTAACCTCAAGCATGAACCTCTAAGAACCAAAAGCAACCCAAACCCTAGACCCCAAACCCTCAACCCTAACCCCGATACCCTAAACCCTCATCCCTGATCCTTCATCCCTAAACTTAATAAACCCCAATCCCCAAAGCCTAAACCAGGCCCTAAACCCTCAACCTGAATCCCACAACCCTAAACCCTAAACCCTCATCCCTGACCCCACAACCCTAAACCCTAAAACCCAAACTGCCAAGGACTACATGCCCAAACCCTGAACCCTCAACCCCTAAACCCTAAACCCCACAACCCCACAACCCCAAACCCCAAAACCCCAAAACCCAGACTCCCGAGGACTACATGCCTCATCCCCAACCCCACAACCCCTAAACCCTCATCCCTAAACCCTAAACCCTAAACCCTAAACCCTAAACCCTAAACCCTAAACCCTAAACCCTAAACCTCAAGAGAAACCCTCAGTGCCGAGGACTACATGCCCCTGCAGTTGGGGAAGTTCTCCTTCGGCCGACTCTGGGCGGCATCGAAGGGTCCGAGCCCGAAGGCCTTTTTTTTTTTTTGGTGGGGGAGGGGGGGAGCTCCTAGGGATTAGAGGGGTTTAGGGGGTAGGGTCTATAAGGTTTTTTTTGTGGGTTTAGGGTTTAGGGTCTAGGGTTCTAGCTAGGGTTTAGGAGTTTAGGGTTTAGGGCCTAGGGTCTCGGGTCTGTCTAGGGTCTCGGGGGTTGGGGTGTAGGGTCTAGGGTCTGGGGCTATGAGGGTTTATAGGGCCTTAGGGTCAAGGGTCTCGGGGGTTGGGGTGTAGGGTCTAGGGTCTGGGGTCTATAAGGGTTTATAGGGCTTTGGGGTCGAGGGTCTCGAGGTGTGGGGTGTAGGGTTTTGGGTCTAGGGTCTATAAGGGTTTATAGGGGTTTAGGGTGTAGGGTCTCGGGGTTTAGGGTTTGGGGCTAAGGGCCCAGGGTCTATGGTTCAGGGTCCAGGGTCTAGGGGTGTAGGGTTTAGGGTCTAGGCATCTAGGGTTCAGGGCGGTACTTCCGCATGTAGTTGTAGGCAAACGTACGTACATACGTATATAGTATATGTATGTAGGTATGTCTGTATGTACGTATGTATGTATGTATGTATGTATGTATGTATGTATGTATGTATGTATGCTTGCACCACATGCATATGTATCTGTACACTGTGTATGTTCGTATGTTGTTATATACATGCATGTTCATATTATATATATATAGAGAGAGAGAGAGAGAGACATCGAGAGAGAGCGAGTTGAGTGCGAGCGAGTCGACATTACGTAGTATGGTTGCAGTCATTGGTACACAGCCTGAGCTCCTCCACGACAGGGTGTTGTGCCTAAGCCAAGCTCCGTTGGACCCCAATGAACACCTATAAAGCCTTGTAGGACCCCTAAACCCTAAACCTTAAACCCTAAACCTTAAACCCTAAAGCCTAAACCCTAAACCCTAAACCCTAAGCTCACTGCCCAGGAGACGTCCTCTTCTACTGTGTTTCGGTCGCTTTGCTGTACTACGCACTGCACGACATGCAGATCAGCCAGTGGCCACTTGGCTCCGGACGACTTCTAATGGGTTTAGGGTTTAGGGTTTAGGGTTAAACCCTAAACCCTAAACCCTAGGCTTAGGGTTTAGGGTCTCGCTGGTTCACTCTCAGCTCTCGGTGCTGAAGTCCTAGGCCCTAGACCCGCGAGACCATAAGCCTTAATTATAGAACCCTATTATAGAACCCTTTAAGGATCCCTTCAGAGGAACCCTATTCTAATTATTAAGGCTCCTGTATCACTCAGAAATGAACAGAAGCCTTATCAGCCCGAAACCTCAAATCCAAACCTTCCAAACCTAAGGCCGGTGTGCCCGAACTCCGGGACCGATAAGCTTAGAGCTTTGATGGGTTTGTTGTGTCGGCTTTTCATTGATGTTAGTGCTCAGGGGTGTAGGATTTAGGATTGATGTTAGTGTTCTCAATGAAGACCATCCCCTCAACACCATAGCGACCGCCAGTATGTCGTGCTTGGGTCAGCTGTTCCAAGCCTTCAGAACCCGTATCCTTGTTCGCTGTCGGCCCTGTTCTGGGGTTTATCTGCGCGGGTATCCGGGATTTCAGAACTCTCTGCATTTTTGTGAGACTGCATGTTCATGAATGCCAGGACCTCCATCTGTAGTCCGGCTGCAATCCCTTCATCTGAACCATCCAAAACCGCAAGACCCAAAGCACTAAATGCTAAGTCCCTATAAGCCCCAAGCCCCCAGGCCTGACGCCATGTAAGGCAATACCAGGAGTCCCAGAAAAATTGGTCACGTAATTTTGCACTCACACCAGCAATGGACCTGTATGTAACTATGGTCGGAGTTTGTTGCCGATGTCATCCCCTGAACTCTAAGACCTAGTTACCCTAAAACGCCTAAGGCCCTGTCAGCCCTGAGCCCTCAAGCCATATGCCTTGAATCTTATGTAAGCTTGTGAGACTGAGGGATGTTGCGATCCTCCTTTCTGGGGGAGCCGTGCCGGGCTTGGCGAACTCAGCAGGTGTTAGGATTTTGGGTGTAGGGCTTGCGGGCCACCTTGTTTAGGGTACGTATAGAGTGTGCAGCAAAGTTCTGGGGTTTCGGGTTTGAGCTTTAGGTCTAAGATCTGGGCGCAAGGTGCAAATTAAGGACGTGGGGCTTGAAATTGGGGTTGAGTCTGTAGGACTTAAGTTTCGGTAGTTTCGGATCAGCCATGATATAAAACCGAAAACCTCAGCGAGCAACCTCACAACACGAGGGCTCTTGTGGTTTGCGGCCGGCGGCTTCTATGAGCTTCGGAAATGATTCCTCAACCATCTATGGTGCTAAGCCGAAGGGTCCAAAGGACCCAATAATCAGGTAATTAGGATCCGGACAGTAGTTCTGAAGCTTTCTAATGTTACCTCGACTCTCAGCCGTCTTTATGTTGTGGGTAAGAGTACTAAGCAACCCTAAAGTCTCAACCCGCGCACGAAACCCTAGACCCAGAACCCTGGGACCGGGATCCCGATCCCGATGATTAGATTAATTCTTGGAACCCTAAACCGAGATTGAACATCTAACCTTGCAAGAGACAGAGATAGAGAGAGAGAGAGTGATTCCCTATACCCTAAACCCTATAACCGGAGAGTGATTCCCTAAACCCTATAACCGGAGAGTGATTCCCTAAACCCTAAACCCTATACCCTAAACCCTAAACCCTATACCCTAGACCCTAAACCGTGAGCATTGCTCAGAACTTATCTGGGTATGACGCGATCACGACCCGGTGGACAAGGAGAGCCTGTCAGCTCTTAACGGGTTCCATGTTGAGCATGGGGGTTTAGGGTTTAGGGTTTAGGGTTTGAGCATTAGGTTTAGGGTTTAGGGTTTAGGGTTTAGGGTTTAGGGTTTAGGGTTTAGGGTTTAGGGTTTAGGGTTAGGGTTTACCTTAAGAACCCAAAAGCCACTTTTTTGTTGGCTCTTATTATAAACCCTAATATGGGATTTATAGGGACCCTACCAAAAAGTAGGTTTTGGGTTTTTAAGGTAGGGTTATCACTCCTTTCGGAAGTCTGTTGCACGCCAGCGCCACAGCATCTTCGCGGCCCTCATCGACATCATGGTCACACCGTAGGATCTAAAACCGGGGCTAGGGTTTTGTAAATGCCCCTAAACCCTAAACCCTAAACCCTAAACCCTAAACCCTAAACCCTAAGCCCAGACAGTTTCGACCACGAGAGCAGCCAAGGTGTATGTCCTCGTGGTTGTCTACTCGACGAAGTTGCGGAGGTTTTTTCAGGGCCTGTGGCTTGGCCTTATGTTCGCAAAGGTAGCCATAATAACAATATTAATAATGAGAATAGTAACACTGACAATTAGTACTGACATGACTGTTGTGACAAAATGAAGGATTCTGAAGGCGTCGCTGGCAATGACGACCATGGTGCTGATGATGGTGAAGTTATTTGAAGTTGCTCTTGACTCGGAACAGACGACGATGCAAGACTTGACCTAAGCACAAAGACCTATAAACCCTACAAGCCGAATAAGCTACCTCTAATGACTCTACCATTTATATAGGTAACTGCATTGGGTTACGGTTTGGGGTTCTAGGTTTTGTAGGTCTTGGGATTAAAGAGTTAAGGGTTTAGGGTCTTACGCTTTCGTATTTCGGGTTTGCAGGTGTAGACTCGAAGCAAGGCAAGTCGTCGACAGCCCCGAACTCTGCACGTTAAGGCGTCGATGACCATGATCGTGCATTAGACCCCAGAGCCGTTTTGCACATGAGACTTGAGGATTGAGGCTTGGTGATTTCGAAGTTTTTCAGTAAGATTGAGAGTTCAGGTTTAATATTGCATTAGAAAACCCTAAACCTAAAGCCACTCATGGTGTTGCTGTGGCTGCGCTGACTCCGCCATTTGTCGCTTTAAGACAACTTCTGACGAAGCAGCGTTTGGGGTTTAGGGGTTTCTATCTACCCCTGCACCCCACTTCCAAACTACGCAGAGACAAGTCGAGGCCTACGTTGCTGCTATTTCGTACCACCAATATGAGAGTTCATGGTGAAATGTGCAAAAAGCTGCCTCCCTCTAGGCTCGTCCGTCGTCGACTGGCCAGGCAAACGTGGCTGGGGAAAGTTCTGGGAAGTGGGCTCAACTGTCTTGCCTGTTCATCCCGAATCCCCCAAAACTTCTCCTGTTTCCTGGAGGCTTTGATAACTCACCGACTTGGCTGCCGCTTTCTTGTTTTGTTGGGCGTAATGCAGGGGCCTTAATAATTACCTATATTATTGGGGGGGGAGGGGGGTTCCTTATTACAAGTATAGTATAATATACCCCAAAACCCTTCTCTAATTATTGAGGCCTTTACATTAGGTTTGCTGCATGGCTTGGCGTATCTGCTCTCAGCTTGAAGATTCATCTCAAACCTCCATAAACTCTAAAGCTTCAGCCCGCCCACTGGTACCTGAATGATTTCAGTTCGGTTCTTTTTGATTCATGGTGTGTTCAGGTTGGTTTTCTTGGTTTTGGAGGTGCTGTGGCAGATCGATGATAGTATCTGGGGGAGCTTCGTCCCTCTTTTAGAGCCTCTTGCTTCGAAGAAGAATGCCGGCCAAGCAGTTCTGGGGAGACGATGACTTTGTGGCATGATTCTTCGCTCCGCTCTATACGCTTGAGAGGGAGGTTCTGGTCCAAGAACAGTTCGATCTCCAAAAGTGCGCGCAGATGCTGGAAGAGATGCAGAGAAGGGAGGTGTATTCTCGATCGAGTATAATTACTGGGCGCCTTCTTCAGTT